AATTTTCAAACAATTTAACATTGTAGAAAATAAGAAATAGATTTATTTAGTTTTATGAGTTTAAGCATCATCTGCCTTTGTATTTTATTTTGGTGTGTAAGTTTTGCTGTTATAAATACTTCCTATGTTGCCTTTAATTTGATGTTTGTATGGAAGCATTATTCATCTCTTTAAGATGTGGTGTGAAATCTTCCCTCAATAACACAGTCTACATGACTCATATTCAAATACTTAACAAATACAAACAATTTTCTTATATTTTTGAACAAAACAGAACCAAAATGCAAGACTATCACCTTATCTCCTTTTCTTTAGGACCAAGTTTGATGTCTGGCGCCTAATTCACTCTGTCAAAGGTAAGCTAGTTTAAGCTATAAAGTACCGCTCATAGATCAAATGAGGCATATTGTGTGATATAGATCATTTCTAAAACAAAAATTTGCCAAACAACTTTCCACAACTAAAAATTTCACGCATATATGATTTATGACCAAATATGAATTTCAGACAATATCACATACTTTCAAACATAAGCATTTTGTGCCGAACATAATTATATATGAAATTTACATTCCACTCATAATTTATTTCTAAACAATAATTATACATTTCTAAAATATTTTCCAAACAACACTAATTTTTTTTAAAATACACATAATTAATCACATTATACACGCCACATCATAGTAATAAATGTTACCTTTACTCCTAGCAAGTAATTAATTACCCCTAACAAGTGAATTATCGTCACCAACAATACTAATACCATGCTCTACATAATATTTAATATCAAACATAATTAAAATTGGTGATTAAACATAATGACAACATAATTCTATGATTAGATTAATTAATCTCATTAACCCAACATCCTTCCATATACTTTAAATCTTAAAACTTAATCATGTCTATTGTTAATATATTTTTAATGTACTCATCTAATCTCCTGTTAACATGATTGACCACTTAGGAGCCTTGACTTTACATTTAATACATCTCAAAAATTTAAAACTTGACCCAAGTATCAAATCATTGTCCCAATACCTTACACATATTTTTCATACCCAAATAAATATCTAATCATCACATGAAAAATTCGAATCTAGGAAAATCTTAACCACATAAGTTTAAAATTTAATTCATAAGCCTCAAATTTCAAATTTTCTACATTTAGTTCTCTATCCAAAATATTCATTTTGTGAATTCCAACCTCAACCGACAAATTAAATTGATTAATTCTCAACATAATCTCCAATAAATATAATCAAGTCATGAAATTCGAAATAAACTACCATCATTTCATAAATCATAATTTTCTTAATTAAAACCTAACTTTGATTCCTTAAATCAACTATTTAAAAAAAATCTAAACCTTACAAACTTTTATTTTAACATCATTAGTGTTGGCGGTATGGACGTAAATCATGGGCTACTTGAGTCGTGCCCGAAAGGACATTATCCTTAAGAACTATTTTAGCACACCAAGATGACGAACCAGTAGTTTTTCAGGATTAAACAAGCACTTTCTTTACAATGTAAGGGCACAGAACAACAAAGCTAACAGAAATAAACTTAGACGAAGAAGAGAAGTCGAAGGAGGAGGAGAATGCCCCAAAAGCTCAAGAGGTTGGCACTCATTCTGTCTATACTCTTGGCTATATATAGGCCAAAAGTAGACAGTGGGCTCATAATTTTGGATTAAACCCCATTAAGCATCGGTTACACGAATGTAAAACCCATTTAAGCACTTGTTTGGAAACATTGGGAGGATGAATACGTTTAGGAATTCAATCATCTGTTTTAGATTCTAGTGAATGGCAAAAAACGTTCATGGTTTGATTTCAAACTCTAGACAACCAAACAAATGAGATTTTTCGGTAAGCTCATGTAAATAAATAATTATTTATTTTTTTGTAAAAAAATTGATAAAAGAAACCTAATGCCTCTTGAACTCACGAGCAGGGGAGGCGAATCAATTGATTTCAGCTACAATTACCTTGAGTTGGCCTGTTTTGTATGCGTGAGCCTACTTTCCCTCCAAACTCATTTTACTAGCCCACTTCATTCCGTAATATTTATACACTAGGAGAGTTCTTCATTTAAACAGTGTGGGACTTTTGACGCACACACAACAATTAGCTCTATTGAAAATTAAATAGTTAATAAAAATATCCAAAAGTTTAAAATCTAACAACCCCTAATGTATTTTTTTTTTCTCCATCCAAAAATAAAAAACTGACAGAAACAAGATAAATAGAAAAATTTTAAAAATTTATCTAATCTTAAGAATTTTCAAATTGTTCTTAGAATATCCTCCTCTAGAAGCTCAACTTCAAAACCCCTCACACTCTCGCAGGCGGTTCCTCTCTCTCTCTCTCTCTCTCACCCACGTTGTTTCGACTTTTGTCGGGCTTACAGGAGAACAGAGGAACCGAAGGTGCGTGCGGAATGAGAAATGAAACTGGGGATATCATTTTTGGCCCACGTGCCAACCATATATTTCTTTTCTTTTTTGTTTTCCTTCTAAACTTTCATCTATTTAATTTTATTTTTTCAACATCTATATATATATATATATATATTATACACCATTTTCTAAGATTCTCTTAATATCTTAAAGTTAAAGGGTTAAAAACCATATTTTTTATTTAATCCCCACTTAAAAACATATAACCCCTCTTGGTTAATTTTTTTACTCATAATTACATAATAAAATTCAATTACCAATAAATAATTCAGTAAATTCAGATCAAGGCTGATAGATATTTATTACCTTTAATTTTATACGACTTCGTCATGAAAAATAATTTGTTTCTTTAATATTATAATTATAATTAATTTATATTGATCAATATTTTTTTAATTTTATATTCTATTTCATTATGTCACAATCTAATGTGTCTTTGTAATTCAGACAACTTGAATTTAGTTAACTTAAACTTCAATTTAATTTGTCCAAAAAAAACTTCAATTTACTTAATAAATCATATCCTAATATTAATTAAATTCTAAGAATAAAAATTTGGATGTCACACAAATCATATTGGAGAGGTACAAAAGAGTAGTTGCAGGCAAAAAAGAGGAGTAGGACGGAGAATTGCACTCATGTTCCCATAACACAATCAAATGTCAAAATGTTCATTGATAAGTGAGCATGGCAAAATGGCAAAAAATCAAAATTCTAATAAGCAACCTTTGGTCCTTAATACGTTAGCAACAACAAACATTGTCATACTCAACCTTCATTTGGTAGTAGGGAATTGGAGAAAGGAGAGCCTAAATTTGTGTGTATTTGGTATGAATGAATTGATGGATTTAGGCTCCCCACCTAGTAATGATTTCAAAATCGAACTAAATCAGACTGTCCAATCAGTCAAACTACTGGCCGATCACTCTAACATCTCAATTTAAACCATCTAATCATTTTGATTATTGGATTGGATTGAGTCACTTCTGATAAGTGGTTAGATTGTGAACCACTTAAAAATTGTGAACGAGAGTGGTTGAACAAGGCAGCTCAAATTTCACTTTTCAAGTTATTTAACATTTCATTTTTTTCTTATATTTATATTATTATATACAAATATAATTTTTACATTTAATTATTACATCATCAATTCAATTATTGATCCAATTGATTAGACTATGTAAATTATAAATTGCTAGCCTTTTTGATTCAATATTCAATGTGATTCTAAAAACATTGCCACCTAGATTTAGAAGTCCCGTTCCATTTCTCTAAAACTCAACTTTTTAACCACCTTGCCCCATCACCCCCTCCCCTAAACAAAATCCAAGGACAACGTGTAGATGATGCAGGACCACGAGGGTGACCAATCTTCCAACGGTGACTCCAAGGAAGGAGATGGCTTTGGCTACAATGGCAGCGACGCCATTCGCGAACTCACTGATGAATTCTCCTCCTATTAAGGGCAGATCTGCTATTGCCATCCCTTATTTGAAGACAAGAGCTTGTAGGCGACACTCAAGAAAGTTCTCAACAATCAAAGCCAAGATGCAGTCGAGCATGTTCTGGCTTTAATCTAGAAGCCCGTCACGGAACATCCTTTAGAGAAGAGCTTTTCCCTCAAAGATCCGATGTGGGTTCTTCGCATCAAGGGTTAAAAGCATTCTAGCAATATTAAGGATATGGCTCGTGGAAGTGGAAGTCGACATCTAATGTAGATAGATTATGGAAGTGGAAGTTGATACTTGTTGCAGGTGCTCTTGTGCGATTTCAACTCCTCGTCAATTGCCGCTACACCATCACAGCCGCTTTTTTTTTTTTAATTTATTTTTTAATTTGGTTTATGCTCTTCAACGATGAAGTTGATTGTTGCTTCGGGTTTGTTGTTCGCTGAAAGTTCATCTTTGTGTTGGGTGTTCAATCATAACTATGGAGTTCATGACTTGTACAGTTGTGGTTGGGAATATGATGAAGACCATGGATACCTTTTTCTACTTTTTTTTTTTTGAATGTTTTGACCTTTTCAAAATATAAATACATTTATTAAATAAAATTTTCATCCCACTTCCATTTACATACCAAACATTTTTTAAATTCCTACTCCCACTTCTATTTACATTTCTACTTATACTAAAAACACTTCTCTGTATCAAATAAGGTATAAGTAGCATTAGCTACATGAATTCTTACGTATTTGATAATAATATAAAATTTTTTATCATCAGCCTTCTTCTAAAATGTCTCATGTTAGATTTTGGAAGATGAGTTATAAATATCAATTGATAAATTGTGGAATATGAGTATCAAATTTTTGTTACAAGTATTTCTTAAAAAATTGCCAAATTTGATATTTATGTGTGAAAAATTTGCAATTGATATTCCAACTTTTATAATAGAGAATTGAAAAAAATGCATTTATGGGCGTAGAAATTTCACAAAAAAATTTCAAAATTTAACCATGATGTATGAAATTTAACCATGTATGAAAAATCATGCAGTTAATATTTCAACCCTTAATATGAGATATGGGATAGATTTGTCGCAAAAACTCGAAAGCCTAATTCCGCAAAACGAATAATGTGAAAGCATAACTTCCTCTAATCCGTACAAGACCTATCGTCTAAACAGTTAACAAAGTACGTTTATCAATTGCAAATCCGTAGTCGATGAATAAATAGTTTAAAAATACATTACCGGCTGGAAGCATATTTTACACACAAGGGCCGCTTCAAACCACCAAGGAAGCACGTAACTAAGTACGGAATTTCATTTCTTGACATGTCGAAGCTAAATAAGTTGATCTCCTGGTAGTTCCAACTTCAATAATCGCAATACGAAGCTCAATAACTGACTCAGGATAAAATTGGCCTTTTCCCATTCCTTGCAATCATTTCCTGCCCATATTGGGACATTCACATGATAACACCGGTTGAGAATGCAGTTAGAAATCATAAAATTTTATAAACGAATCAGGAGTGACATCATCCCCTTCAAAACATTAAAAGAGAAAATGATCATCCAACTAAGATGGCTCAGAAAATAGGGCTCATGAAAATAGGGCCATGTGGCCTCTAATGTCCGATCCCTCTAATGTTTTTTTGTAATGTCCCAACGTTCCAATAATTTTTTTTTTTTCATTTTCAAATATGATTATCCATCTAAGACGGCATAAAGGAAATAGGGCCATGTGGCCTCTGATGTCCCACTCCCCAACTTTCTAATAATTTTTTTTATCATTAGCCTCTATATAAAATGATAAATATTTTAATATCTTATAGTAATGAAACGGTTAAGTTTTGCTTTTCTTAAAAAAAGATTTTTCAAAGAAAATAAAAAAAAAGTGCACAGTTTTTAGATATTTTTCTTTGAAAAATCATTAAAATTACAAAACTGTACCATTACATCGCTGTAAGACATCAATACGTCTCTCATTTTCTGTAGAATCCAATGATCAAAGGAAAAAACACCAATTAGTAGGTTGGGGGATTACTTATAGCATCAAAAAGTGGGGTATTACCTAGATGTTAACATTTAAATGGGATCAAAGGAAAAAAAACCAATTAGTAGGTTGGGGTATTACAAATAGAATTAAAAAGTGGAGCATTAGAAGTTTCAAGCCTAGAAAACAGGGAGAATTACAAAAAGATTCCAAAGAAGGAACTTAATAAATTTTTGTGATCCGATTTAAATGTTAACATCTAGCATTTACATGCCATCTTTGTGGGACATATTTGTAATTTTCCCAAGAAAATAGCCTTTCCCATCACAGACCCAACACTTGCAGAAAAACTTGCTTAAGCTGCGGATTCATCTTTTCATTAATGTTATAGTATCTTCTCTGTTCTAACATAATGCAATATTAGTTAGTTAAGATAAAAACCCCAAGTTTCATTCAGAATAACACCCCCTCACCTCCCCCCCCCCCCACCCCAAAAAAAAAAAAAACCCCTTCCTCGGGTCATCCACTAGATTTTGAGCCGCCTCCCAGCAAGGCATTTATGGTAACAGGCCGAATCACATCAATCTATTTAAGGCATACAGATGGTGTTAAAGATATAGCAAACGCCTTTAATTTTCTAACCCTCGTTATTGTTTTATTTCATTATACAGGCAAGGCAACTAATGAGAGTTCCTCGGTACAAGAGACATACCAAGGAAGCTTGAAAGTATCTTTCCACCACCCTTGTTTTGAGCAGTTTGCCACAATTTTGTCCAACCGCACAATCACTTCAGAAAATGTTGGTCTGACAAGAGGTTCTGGATCCCAACATTCCTCAATCAACCTGCATACAAGATAGTTAGAAAGCTTTCAAATTATACTGGAAATTTGAAGCCATATTTTATATTTTGAGAAAACTGACTCTCTCAAATCTGGAGGATAACTTTTTGTTTTGATCTTGAATGGTGGCCTTTTTCCTTCTATGCACATAAGTTTCAAGGCCTCCTCCGAAGACTTCGGGTGTAAGGGCTGTATACCCTCTATCATCTGTATCCGTGAAAGAAATATCATGAAAGAAATAGATGATACGGGCTAATAATGTCTCAGAAAAATTAACCTTGCACTGCAAGATTAGGGTGCAAGGATCACCTTGCTACCACATGACAAATTGAACTGACTGGGGTAGTTGGATTTTTTTTTTTTTTTTTTTTGGTTGGGGGGGGGGGGAGATCCCAATCTACTTAGTAATTAGAATTTATCAATTACACTTATAGTTTAGCCCCCACTAACTTTACCCGTAAGAACAAAAACAAAGCCCTCTTGTCTATAAATTTACAAGTTAACTTCTACAATGACCCAAAACCCATTGCAGTGTTCTCAAATCTCTGGTCTCATCTGATTCCATCAATCATCTATCAAATCTCCAAATCTAAGTTGCTTTTTGTTAAGAGAGAAAAGGAAGAAGAAGAAGGATAGTAGAAGAGACTAATCCATTTCACAAGGGGTAAGGTCCTAAACCTAGACAGGTGCCAAAAGAGGTAAGGTCCTTCACTGTCAATAACTACCCTAGAATTCAGCAACATATAAAGACAATGATAATATAATAACATAAAGACAATAAAGCCACTTTGCTAAAAAAAAAAAAGACAATATAGCCACTAATAAAGCAGTAACATGTAACAATACTCCCCCCCCCCCCTAAAAAACATCCTTGTCCACAAGGATGGAAGTAGCAGCAGGTGCATCAACATTGAAGTGAGGGAATTTTTGCTTTGATGGCTGAAAGGTCTTCCCAAGTGGCATCTTCAGGTTGAGAGAACTCCCAGCAAGTCAGAACCTGAGTCGTACGTAAATTATGGTGCTTAAAAATCTTCCAGCGCAAAATTTCCTTGGTTTCTAAGATGAATTGGCCCTGATCATCAACTAGTGGCAAGGTAAGATTAAGAGAAACAGCTGGACTAACATACTTTTTCAGCAAAGAAACATGGAACACTGGATGAACTCGAGTGTTAGGAGGTAGATCGAACTTGTATGCAACAGCCCCAATGCGTTTCACCACTTTGAAAGGCCCAAAATAACGAGCAGCCAGCTTATGCAAGGAAGAATTATTCAACAGATTCTTCCAAAAGGGATGCAATTTAAGGAAAACCATATCTCCCACAACGAATTGGCACTCAGATATGTTCTTATTAGCTTGTAGCACCATCTGATGTTGAATCTTCAACAAATGTTGCTTCAAGAGTTGCAAAGTGAGCACTCAAGAGATACAAGTTCAATCAATCATGTCATTAGGTGGATCACTTGCTATGTAAGGTAAATGGGCGGGAGGAGGTACCTTATACACTGCCTCAAAAGGAGTCATCCCAATCGAGGAATGATAGGTGGTGTTATACCATAACTTAGCTAGTAGAAGCCACTTAACCCATTGTTTTGGGAAATTACCTGTCATGCAACAGAGATAGCACTCCAAGCAACAATTAAGTGCCTCGGTTTGGCCATCAATTTGGGGATGATAAGCGGAAGAAAAGTGCAATTTAACACCATACAACCTAGAGAGCTCCTTCCAAAACTTACCACAAAAGATTGGATCTTGGTTAGAAACAATAGACCTAGGAAAGCGATGCAACTTGACAATATTATCCATAAATATATTAGCTACATCCATAGCAGTAAAAGGGTGTTTTAAAGCCATAAAGTGGGTAGCTTCAGATAAGCAGTCAACCACCACCAAAATAATGGTCTTAAAGTAAGACTTAGGAAGGCCACTGATAAAGTCCACAGAGAGCTCAGACTAAATGTATTCAGGCATGGGTCATGGCTGGAGAAGCCTTAGGGAAGCTACCAACTCAAGCTTAAAGCACTGACAAGTTGTGTATCAATGCACATAATTGCGAACATCTCTCTCCATTCCCTTCCAATAAAAGAAAGAAGCTAATTTTTTATAAGTTGAAGTCGTACCTAAATAACTCCGCCTATGTTTATAGCCGGTCCCAAGCCCGGGTAAAGGAGGAGGGTTGTGTTAGGCCATCAACAGCCAATGTAAAAATTTGTTGAATCTATCATGAACATGGACAATAGACGTTATAATGTTAATGCTAGGTCGTTGCCCGTAAGTAACGCGCTGCATGGCTCGAGTACAGTGATAAGTGAGTTAGAGCCGCTGCATCGGCGCCCGGATGTAGTGTTAAATGAGCAAGTCATTCTGGACGCACGCGGCTAAAGAAGTTAGTCCATAAGAGCAAAATTAGATTTGGTACTTGAAATGTTGGGACATTAAATTGTAAATCTGTAGAGGTTGTAGGGGTTATGATTCAAAGGAAAATCAATATCATTTGCTTGCAAGAAACAAAATGGCGTGGAGAAGAAGCTAAGGATATTCAAGGTTTCAAACTTTGGTATACAGGAAAAGTAAGTGCACGCAATGGAGTAGGCATCATTATAGATAAGGAGTGGAAGAAGAACGTTGTAGCAGTTAGCAGAATTGAGATAGAATTATTTCTTTAAAAATGATAATTGGACGTGAGACTGTTAATATTGTTAGCGCTTATGCGCCGCAAGTCGGGACAGAAGCCAGTCTTAAGGAATTATTTTGGGAGGATCTAGAGGGGTTGATTCGACACATACCACAGAGTGAAAAGATTTTTATTGGAGGAGACTTTAATGGGCATGTCGGGAGGGAAGCTGGTCAGTATGCGAGGGTGCATGGTGGTTTTGGTTTTGGAGAGCTAAACAATGAAGGACAAACTCTTCTTGATTTCTCATTGGCGTATGATTTTAAGATTGCCAACACTTGTTTCAAGAAGAGAGATGAGCATCTCATCACTTACAAAAGTGGAGCCTCAAGGTCGCAGATTGATTTTCTTTTGGTTAGGAACACAGATAGAAAACTTTGTAAAAATTGTAAGGTGATACCCGGAGATGCTGTAACGACACAACATAGGGTCCTAGTCCTTGATGTGTGTATTATGAGTAAAATCCAAAAACGTCGACAAGTAGTAACACCAAGGATTAGGTGGTGGCAATTAAAAGGTGAGAAGCAAGATATTTTCAAGCGAAATCTTTTGGATAAAGGAATTTGGGATTCTCAGGGAAGTGCTAACATTATATGGGAGGATATGGCTAAAAAGATACGGGAGGTTGCAAAAGTAGTTTTGGGAGAATCGAAAGGTTCTGGTCCGAGAGATAAGGAGTCTTGGTGGTGGAATAATAGTGTACAGGACAAAATCAAGTATAAGAAGAACTGTTTTAAAGCCATACATTTGTGTAACAATGAGGAAAATTGGGAGAGGTACCGTTTGGCTAAGAAGGAAACTAAGAGAGCTGTGGGTGAAGCTCGTTCTAAAGCTTTTGAAGAATTTTATAAGAACCTTGAGACGAAGGAAGGAGAGCAAAATATTTATAAGATTGCCAAGAGTAGGGAAAGAAAATCAAGAGATCTAGAACAGGTAAGGTGTATTAAGGATGAAGAGGGAAGAATTTTAGTTACAGATGATGAAATTAAAAATAGATGGGAGACTTATTTTTCTAAACTTTTCAATGATGGAGAGGATTCATCTAGTAACTTGGAGGATTTAGTAACTGGTGAAGGAGAACAAAATTTGTCATTCTATCGAAAAATACGTGATAAGGAGGTAAAGGAAGCTCTTAAGAAAATGGCAAATGGTAGAGCCAACGGACCTGATTGTATATCTATCGAAGCGTGGAAATGTTTAGGTGAAGAAGGGGTGAGATGGTTAACTAAGTTATTTAATGTGATTTTACGGTCCAAGAAAATGCCTGATGAGTGGAGGAGAAGTACATTAATTCCTATTTATAAAAATAAAGGAGATATTCAGAATTGTACTAACTATAGAGGATTAAACTCATGAGCCACACAATGAAATTGTGGGAGAAAGTAATTGAGCACAGGTTGAGATTGGAGACAAGTATTTCTGAGAATCAATTTGGTTTTATGCCAGGTAGATCAACTACAGAGGCGATTTATCTACTAAGGGGATTAATGGAAAAGTATCATTGTAAAGATAAAGATCTACACATGGTTTTTATTGATTTGGAAAAAGCTTATGACCGTATACCAAGAGAAGTGCTTTGGAAAGCGTTGGAAAAAAAGGGAGTACGGATTGCTTATATTAAAGCCATACAAGATATGTATGAGGGGGTAAAAACTAGTATAAGAACGCCTAGTGGTCAAACAAAGGATTTTCCTATAAAGATTGGACTACATCAGGGATCATCTCTGAGTCCTTATTTGTTCAACTTGATTTTAAATGTTTTGACGGAACATATTCAAGAGGAAATCCCGAAATGTATGCTCTTCGCGGATGATATAGTTCTTATAGCAGAGACAAGAGAAGAGGTTAATTGCAAACTTGAGTTATGGAGGAGGACATTGGAGTCGAAAGGTTTTCGTCTGAGCAGAAGTAAGACGGAATATTTATATTGTAAATTTGGTAAAGGACTATTCGAAAATAATTTGGAAGTGAAATTGGGAGATCAAATTATACCTCAAGTGGAAAAGTTTAGATATTTGGGAGCCATTATTCAAAATGATGGCGAAATCAGTGGAGATATTTCACATAGAATTCAAGCTGGGTGGTTTAATTGGAGAAAAGCTAAAGGAGTTATTTGTGACCGTAAGGTGCCTAATAAACTTAAAGGAAAGTTTTATCGTACTGCTATCAGACCGGCAATGTTATATAGTAGTGAATGCTGGGCTCTAACGGGACAGCAAGAGCATAAAGTTGGAGTAGCAGAGATGAGAATGTTACGATGGATGTGCGGACATACACGTAAAGATAAAATTCGAAATGAGCACATACGCGAAAAAGTGAGGGTGGCACCTATTGAGGAAAAAATGGTAGAAAATCGGTTGAGATGGTTTGGGCATGTACAAAGAAGACCAAGGGAGGCACCAGTGAGAAGAGTGGAACATATAACTTTGAGTCCGATTAAGAGAGGTAGAGGAAGGCCTAAGAGAACACTCTTGGAAGTTGTTGAACGTGATCTCTTAATTAATAATATTTCTAAAAGCTTGATAAATGATAGAG